ATATAAAAATAGGAATCTATGTTTTCCTCATAAAGAATCCAGTGCATTTATTCCTTCAGAGGTTACTGTCAGAAAAACCATGCTTCAATGCTGTAGCTAATCCTGACTGTACTAGTCCCTTCCTCTTTCTCTCAATCTCAGTTTCGCAGTTGACTTGAACTGGTAGGACTGCACCAGTCTTGAGAGAACTGTCCTTGGATATTTGCTACTTTGGAAACCATGGCTTCTTCAAGGCAAATCTATCCTGAAACCTTTAAGAGAGTTGTGCTGCTTGCTGACAAAACCGATGGGACACAGGTATAGCTGCTAGCTGTGGGGAGGCAGTAAGGGAATAAATCTCACAATCAATGTGGTATTCTCTCTGTAATTTGACTTTATAGGGAAGCTTATTCAATTTACCTTAAACTGCACTTAAGACTGCGGGGTTTGGCTGTTTGCTTCTTTTTATTCTTCTGCAAAATGATTTAACTACAGGATAACAAGAGAAAACTTGGAGCGAGTGGCTGCAAAGGGATCCTCTCCAAATCTTTTAAACATTAGATAACTCGATGTTTCCAGCCGTTGAAACAGAAATGAGATGTTTGATGCTGTCACAGTCCAGTCTCACCAGGATAGAAGCGCTCAGAACAGGACTCTTAAGCATGCTTTATGACAAAGAACATTATTCCAATGGCACTGTGGACTGACACTATGGGATCACAATGCAGTACATCTCACTTCTTAAGCTTCTGCCTTGACAGCCGCCTGGGACTTCCCTTAAGACTGAAGACAGTCCAGGAGAAGTCCCTATCAGCACACTCAGAGGTAGACCAAACCATCTAGCAGGCCAAAGGATCTTCATCCCAAATGTAATCAAACTGCCTCCTTGTTTAAGCTACTTTACTAGAAAGGCAATGTGTTTGATTGGGAAACCTAGGGTGCAACTACAGCATGCATTGGCACACCTCAGCCCTCCAGGTGTTTTGAACTTCAACTCACACAATTCCTAACAGCCTACCGGCTGTTAGGAATTGTGAGAGTTGAAGTCCAAAACACCTGGAGGGCGGAAGTTTACCTATGCCTGATCTACACTGTAGAATTAATATAGTTTGACACAACTTCAATTTCCATGCCATGGCTCTTGGGAATCCTAAATGATTCCTAAAATCCTTGTAAAACATCAATTCTTGTGGTTACCTACAACTGAGCCACGGCAATCAAACTGTTGTCAAACTGTATTAATTCTACAGTGTATAAGTACACTTAGTCTGCTGCTCCACTGTAGCATCAAAAATCAGAGTGATTGGATAAGCTAACTTTTTATTTGAAAGAATCGACAGGAAGGCCAGCAAAGAAAACAAATTGGAAATTAATTGAGGAATATCTGAGAGGAATTTAAGGGCCAGTCACAAACAGAAGTAACATTAAAAACAACATTGAGAGAAGCCGATATTATAAAGAAGATCTTGAGACTTAAACTAATATAGAAGACATGGAGAAGAAGATTGGGAAGTCAAGATTACCCCTCCCCTTTTTTCACTTTCCCCCACCACCATACGCCACTCTCATTTCCGTTTGTGTCTCCCCTCCCTGTAATAGCTTCCCCTACACCCCCTTCCCATTCCACCCAGACCCACCCTCACTAACCATACCTTCAACTCCTCTCAACCTACCCCACCAATGTGTTTTGTCTATCTACCCGAAAAAGTATATTCCCCCTCTCCCCGCCTATATATATAATCAGAGTGATATACTCACTGAGCCTGTGAGTGTATCCATACTACACAATCCTGACAGACTGATTCCACTTTAATTGCTATGGCTCCATCCTCTAGGAACCTGGAATTTGTCATTTGGTAAGGTATTAGATATTCGCTGTCACAGAAACCTATGTTGTAGCTGTGGGGAATACACTAGAGAATCTGGAGTATCTAACAAAACTACAAATGTAAGAACCATTACAGTTAAAATGTTATCAAACTGCTATAAATTATCAATATGGGTGCATCTTGTAACATAAATGAGCAATTTGTGTACAACAACAACACAGGTGCTTGTGGGCGTTGTCCAAAAAGTATGAACACAGGAAGGAAAATGCCAGGAATGAGAAGGGTTTGGCTACTCACAACAACAACACACACACACCATCCCAAAAGGCCCTGTTTTATCACTCCAGAGCACATGATGTTTTCATGTCCTTTGCTCATGATTGATATTTCTCAGCTTTCCCAGGTTAGGAGCCATAGAAATAGGGGCAGCCTTTTGCCCCAATATCTTCTCCATTACGATGTTACGATTGAGGGCCCTTCCAGACAGGCCCTGTATAACAGGAACCGATCCCAGGTTTTCTGCTTTAAACTGGATGATATGAGTCTGCAATGCAAGAAAATCTGGGATAAACAGAAAACCTGAGATCAGATCCTGGGATATAGAGCCTGTTCGGAAAGGCCCCAAGACAAGCCAAACACAATCCAGCCCCTCAAGCACCTTTTCAGCATGTCTCAAACATGCTTCCTTCTTTTTACATGCCTGCTTTTGTGTGCCATCCCTTGCCAAAACACGTGGATAGGTCTAAACAAGTTGTTGGAAAGCTCACTATTCTTGGTTTTAGACTCTCTTTTTCCAGTATGAAACAATTATCCCACTGAAAGGCACAAAACCAATAAAACAGAAAGTAAAGCATATACAATCAAAGTTCAGTATACAATAACACAAGGAAACATATATACACTGTAAAAGAAAACAGTGATACATCTGATCTAAATGTATTCAAAGTAAACACAAACAGCAGGGGAAGTATTGTGATTCACTGCAGACACTCACCAGTAAAAGCAGAGGGAGGGAGAGAGAGAAATGTGTTTTCCAAAAACAAAAACTCCATCCCTACTAACATGCCAAAACAAGAAGTCAGGGGTACCATCCTTTTGTTTGTTAAGCATTTAGCACCAGTTTATTTCAAGCATTGCTGGCAATGATACTCCGTCTGCCTGGTCCAGCAACCACAAGTAGCCATCCGATGTCAACAAAAGGAGTACTAAGAGCACAGGGCAGGGCTAAGGACCTTCAACCCACTCTACCTGTGGCTGCCTTGGTGGGCATTTTCAGTATGATGAAGTTCAGGGAAAACTGGATTCCAAAGGAAAAGCAACATGCCCTGCCTGGCTACTGGAGCTCACACCCAGCAAAGTCTCAAAAGTCTGTTGGAAGCAGGGAGGCTGTGTTCAGCAGTGGGAGGAAACCACAGTACCCTGTGTACTAGTGCATAAGTCTAAGAATTTTAGTCAAAAACAAATGTGTTGTGGAAGGCTTTCATGGCTGGAATCACTGGGTTGCTGTTGAGTTTTCGGGGCTGTATGACTATGTTCCAGAAGCATTCTCTCCTGACGTTTTGCCCTCGTCTATGGCAGGCATCCTCAGAGGACACAGCTTATTATTTGAGAACACAGAAATGCTGGACCACTCTAACAACTACCATGTCAGATTACACAGAGAACGCACTGAAATCCAGAAGCATGTGGACAATTTCAACAGAAAGGAGGAAACCATGAAAATGAACAAAATCTGGCTGCCAGTATTTAAAAACAAACAAACACTAAAACCAGGACAGTAAATAAAGAGCAACACTCAAAAAGCAGGGGAATTCCAGACAAGAATCAATCAGGACCAGCTAACACCTCCCAACAAAAGATTTTCCCCGGCAATCAGGACAGCAAATAAAAGTGCAACATTCAAAAAGCAGGGGGATTCCAGGCAAGAATTAATCAGAGCCAGCTAACACCTCCCAACAAAGGATCCCCCAGGCAGCAATTTGAAGCTGCAAAGCCATTCAATGCTAATAAAGGTGGCCAATTGCAACATTCACACTTGACTCAAGCAGACAAGAGTTGTTTCTCCCACTCTGGACAATTCCACAGATATATAAACTTAACTTATTTAGTTTCCAACAGACCTCACAACCTCTGAGGACGCCTGCCATAGATGTGGGCAAAAAATCAGGAGATAATGCTTCTGGAACATGGCTATACAGCCTGGAAAATTCACAGCAACCCAAAAAAACCTTTTCTACTTTTCCACAGGTCAGATGTAAGTACTGTGCCTTAATTCCTTTCCAAAAAGAGCCACCCTCCTCTCTGAGTGGAGTGGAGAAAGGCTACTGAAGTGGAGAACCTAGGAGTGGCACCAGCCCCCTTTGCTCTCTCCACCAGGGCATCAATTTTGGTCCTTTTCAATGCCTGGGTGGGAAAACAGCGTCGGGCAGGGCTGGCTGGGCACCAGAGGGGATGAAGGCCTTCTCCTGCCTAGTATACAGAGTGACCCATGACTTATTTAAGGGGTCAGATCAAGAGCCATTGATTTGGCTCCTGACTCTGCCTTTGATTTACACCTGAGGTCGACTTATACATGAGTTTATCTGGGGTTTGTTGTTTATTCGGTCAGTAGCTTTGGACTTTTTGTGCCCTCAGGGAGTATCAAAACAAGGGTGAAGGAAAGGGGAAGAAAAGGTGTGTGAAGAGGCGGGGGGGGGGGGGGAGTCCACTCCTGCTTCTCCAGCTGGAGGGCCACAAGTGGGACAGCCAAGGCAACAGGACTGGGAAACAAGTGGCGTTTTCCCTCTCTTTTTTAGCTTGGCCTCAGGAGCTGCTTTCCTTCAAAACAGGAAAGGGGGGGGGGGGAAGGTCTGACTGCTCTCCTGAAGGCATCAAAAGCAGGGCGAGGAAGGCGGGGGAAGGAGAAGGGGGGAGGGCGAGAGAGGAGGGGGCAACGACCTGTCCGAGGCGGGGGCTGTTTTGGGGAGGCTCAACGTGGGGCTGAGTGCCCAAAGGCCTGACAGGATAGAGTCTCTCCTCCTCCTCCCCGAATGCGTGGCAGGTGTGGGCCTGGCGGGGTCCCCTGTGGAGGCCAGGTGCGCCAGCCCCCCCCCCTCCCCTTCCCTTTCTCTCTCCCCCTCCTCGGCCTGAGGCGCAGTGCGGAAGGCCCCTTCCCCTTCTCCCCCCTTCTCCCCCTTCCCGGCTTCTCCTTACCTTTGTGGCCCCCGAAGGCGCCGTACCAGGAGAGCGAGAAGAGGGCGCAGAGGCAGCCCAGCAGCAGCGTGAGGAAGGTGCCATTGCGGAGCCTCATGTCCCCCCTCTCCCTCTCCTCCTCCTCCTCCTGGGCCTGGCCTTCCTCCCCCTCCTCCTCCTCCTCCTCCTCCTGGGCGAGGCCGCATGTCCCGGGCGCCCAGCGCCGGCCTCAGCCTCCGGGGCCCCGAAACCCGGCGGAGGAGGAGGCGGCGGCGGCGGCGGCGGCGGCAGGGGCTGCCAGGGCCCGGGCGGGAGGGAGCCGCTCCTCCTCGCCTCCTCCTCCTCCTCCTCTTCGCGCTGCCCTCATGCACTGGCCGCGCCCCACCGGGCCGAGTGGGCAGCCAAGGAGGAGGCGGCGGCGGCGGCGGCGGCGGAGGCAGAGAAGAGGAGGGGGATTCTCCTTTTGGCGGGGCCTGGAGCAGAGAGAGAGCCAGCGGCAAGGAACCGGGGGGGGGGGGGGGCTCTCTCTCCGAGTCAGGGGCGGAGATGCCGCCTTTAAAGGCGCCCGCCTCTTTCTCTCTCTCTCTTGCTTAGAGGAGGAGGGGTCTCCAAAGGGACCCCCTTAGAGGGCAAAGGTTATGAGGGAGACGACCCCCCCCCCACTCCCCTGGCCCAAAGGAGCAGCCGGGAAAAGCGGGAAGGCAGCCTTCAGGAAAAGAAAGACAGCAAAGGACATCAGGGCTAAGGGCTGGGGCAACCTAAGGGTCTCCTCGAATGACCCAGGCAAGCAGTTTGTAGCCCAGGCTAGGAGCAAACTTTGCCCCCCCCCCCAGGGGTTTTGGACTTCAACTCCCACCATTCCTAACAGCCTACTACCGCTTCCAGAAGTTCTGGGAACTGTGGTAGGCTGTTAGGAATGGTGGGAGTTGAAGTCCAAAACCCCTGGAGGGCCAAAGTTTGCCCATGCCTGTCTTGCCTATCATCCAGCTGGATCACAGAAGCCTCCGGTTGGAAGAGACCACAAGCCCCCCCAGACCAACCCCCTATCCTGCAGGGCAATCTCTCTTCTGAGATGTATAAATATGTGAGAGGAAGTCATAGGGAGGAGGGAGCGAACTTGTTTTCTGCTGCCCTGGAGACTAGGACGCAATGGAACAACAGCTTCAAACTACAAGAAAGGAGATTACATCTGAACATTAGAAAGAACATTAGGAGAGAGCCTGTTCAGCAGTGGAACTCTCTGCCCCAGAGTGTGATGGAGGCTCCTTCTTTGGAAGCTTTTAAACAGAGGCTGTATTGCCATCTGTCTGGGGTGCTTTGAATTCAATTTTCCTGCTTCTTGGCAGAATGGGGTTGGACTGTATGGCCCACAAGGGCTCTTCCAACTCTAGGATTCTATGGAGCAGATGAGGTAATCGAGGAAATGCAACCCCAAATAGGTAAAGAAGTGGTTTAGGAATACCTGGCTACTCTATAAGAATTTAAGTCTCCAGGAGCAGATGAATTACATCCAAGGGTATTGAAGGGACTAGCAGAAGTCATTTCTGAACCACTGTAAACACCACTTGCAGAACATTTTCCTATGGGTGTATTTCTTAAAAGAAAAAAAATTGCATGTTCAGTTGCCTGCCATGAATGGCAAAAAATAAGAAGGAAGAATATAGACAAGTGTGGAGCGTCAGAATGCAGCCTGAGCACTGCACAGAATTTCAGCAACCACACACTACACTTCGGATTGTCCTCCAGACATTTTTGGACTGAGCTGGCCAGAGCCACTGGGTTTTGCAAGTGAAAGTCTGCATGCTGTCCATCCCTATGCTACATTATAAGCTCCTAGCCTTCCTTAACCTCCTGTATCCTGTCCTTCCTTATGCTACATTATAAGCCAAGGTGTCTCCTGTTGTTGTTGTAGTTGTTTATTCGTTCAGTCGCTTCCAACTCTTTGTGACCTCGTGGACCAGCCCACGCCTGAACTCCCTGTTGGCCGTCACCACCCCAGCTCCTTCAGAGTCAAGCCAGTCACTTCAAGGATACCACCCATTCATCTTACCCTTCGTCAGCCCCTCTTCCTTTTTCCTTCCATTTCCCCCAGCATCATTACCTTCTCCAAGCTATCCTGTCTTCTCATTATGTGGCCAAAGTACTTCATCTTTGCCTCTAATATCTTTCCCTCCAAAATCTCCTAGTCTTCCTCAAACTCCTGTCCCCTAGATGTACTGGACTTTGTTTTTATTTGCCATGCAGCCACTTATGGCGACCCTATGAGTGGGAGACCCCCAAGAACTCTGGTTATCAACCACTTAGGTATTGCAAACTAAGGGCATGGCTTCCTTGATTGAATCAACCCACCTTCAACTTTACTAGCTTCAAGCATTTTCATCTTTTCCAGTCAGTCACATCATCTCCTAATATATACAAAGTATAATAGCCTCAGTTTTTGTGGGTTTTTTCGGGCTATATGGCCATGTTCTAGAGGCATTTCTCCTGACGTTTCGCCTTTTGAAGGGAGGAAAAGTTAATATCGTTTCCATAGACATGCTAGGTATAAAAATATTACATCTCATAGAAGGACTTTCCTAATTCACTAGGTTCTTGTGGGTTTTTTCGGGCTATAGGGCCATGTTCTAGAGGCATTTCTCCTGACGTTTCGCCTGCATCTATGGCAAGCATCCTCAGAGGTAGTGAGGTCACTACCTCTGAGGATGCTTGCCATAGATGCAGGCGAAACGTCAGGAGAAATGCCTCTAGAACATGGCCATATAGCCCGAAAAAACCCACAAGAACTGAGTGATTCCAGCCATGAAAGCCTTCGACAATATAATAGTCTCATTTTGCTCATCTTTGCTTCTAATGAAAGGCCTGATTTGCTCTAAGATTCATTTGTCATTTTAGCAGTATCTGTAGAACTTTCCACCAGCAACACATTTCAAATGAGTTGATTTTCTTCCTGCCAGCTTTCTTCACTGTCTATCTTTCAAGACTTCCACAGTATGATCCCTCTATTTGAAGGAAATATATTCCAATACAATCTTCCCTGCCTCCCATGGGGCCCTTCCACACAGCCTGATATCCCAGAATATCAAGGCAGAAAATCCCACATTATCTGCTTTGAACTGGGTTATCTGAGTCCACACTCAGATAATGTGGGATTTTTTGCCTTGATATTCTGGGATATAGGGCTGTGTGGAAGGGCCCTTAGATACCTGAAACTGTGGATAAGGGAGAGAACCCTATATTTTGACTCTACTTGGGCTGGAAACATACCATAGGATAGCATTGGAAGGCCTAGAGAATCTCACAAACACTTCAATGGGGGATATTTTTTGAAAAATGTATAAGTGAAACTGTGGATATCAAATCAATGGATAAGAGGGGTTTATTGCACGTCTATATTGTACTGTTGCCTGAATATTTAATGCCATGTCTTTACAACAGCACTGAGCCATGGCAGTGAATGTGGCAACAAACTGCATTAATTCTAAGTGCAAGTGACCCCAGTATGTTCTTTTAATCTTCTTCAATACTAGACATTGACCATAATAATAAAGACTAAAACACTGATATATGCAATAAGGACTGTAATGGGTTATCTAGCTAAGTCTAGGTTGAGCACCAGCATTTCCTTTAGCTTTAATAAACTCTTGTATCCTTTCTGCTTTGGCCACGGTTGGGTTCCCAGTTCTGCTTTCTAGTTTGTTACATAGTTAGCATCTTATTCAAAGCTTGGCAAAGTTACTTTTTAAAATCATAGTTCCCCAGATCTCCTGCTCAGAAAAGCAACCACCATTTGTAGTAAATTGCTGTTATCTTTTTCTCAAACACAGTTATTTCTGACATATCAATTTGTATGTTAATGTCACATAAGATTTTTACTTCACCAATTTCAGCAATCTTTTTAGGCTTATGCCCTCCCCCCAGTGCTTTGTGCATGGTAAATCATATTTTTGCATCTATTTGAATGGGAATCTGGGGAAAAGAAAACAACTGTAGTTCTACTAGTAAGGAGAATTTTGATCAAACTGACAAAACAGCAGAATGAACTTGCCATAGAGAGGAACGCAACAGCAAAATCACAAAAAGTGAAACTCCCTGAAAGGTGCTATGATATCTAATGATACTTCACTGATCCCAAGATTTAGATTACATAGATTCAAAACATATATAGTAAAGCAATAATGTCTAGTAGACTAGGAAACCAAAACAACTGATAAACCAAAAAATGATGATGATGATGACGACGACGACGACGATGACGATGATGACAAGGACAATGACCCGGTCAGCCTCTGGTCCCACCTCTCATTTTGCTTTTTGATTCTGATCAGCTTGATCCTACCTCCTGTCTGTCTAGGTTGCAGAAGCTAACAAAGCAAATAGTTCCTGAAGATAATATCACTTGCTTTGTTGTAATATCAGGCATTTTATCAGGTTTTTAAAATATTCTTTTAGTTTTTGTTTGGTAATGTTGTGTTGTGTTCTTTAGCATTTAATAACTGGAGCACACATTGGCTGACATACTATTGGTGTCATACACCAGAATTCAGGGGAGGTTAAAACCACAGCTTTACCTTTCCAGATCTTGCAATGGGAGATATCCACTACCTCCTTCATTGTGCCTCCCACTCTGGCCTGGAATTAAAGCCAGAATGGTTGCAGCTCCATATCCTCTGCTTACAGCTCAGTTCTGGGGGTGCAGCCAGGCTCTTTCCACTTGCTGTTGAGCACAGAGGGAGGAAGAAGTACCTTGCATTGGGGACAGAAGCTGTCTTTCCTGCCTTCCCTTCCTCAAGAGCATCTGGAAGGGGCCCACACACCCCACACAGCCAGTCAGGAGCAGGAAGCGAGAGCTACGGGCATTTGTTAAGCACTAGGCGGCTTCCATGGCCTTCATCATCTCTTGTAAATACATTGATGGAGACATATGCTCTGTCAGCACAATGTAGGATCTCAGCTGTTAAGTGAATTCAGAAACATATGAAATAATAATTAAACTGTTTAATGACTCAATAATAGAACTCTGCCAGAGAGAGCAGCTTCACCCATCTAGCTTCCTGGAAATAAATCATATCAGGGAAATTATTAAACCCGAATGCAGATGGAGACCTATGATTCTCAGATATGTATGCTTTTCACACAAATACCTTGGGAAGCTATGTTTGTGGCTGTGGCTTCTGTTTCTGCATACTGTCTAGCAAAAAAACAAGAATGGCTCTGTGTTTGTTGCATGTCAGCATTTATAGAACCTTCTATACCCAAGTATGGGGTCTTAATACCCTAAAGGCAGCAGATCCCATCTGATCTAGAAAGCTAAACAGGATGAGCCCTGGGTGGAAGACCACCAGTGAATACCAGGTCCTGTAACCTACATTTCAAAAGAAGGAACTGGCAAAACTACCTCCTTGTCTAATAAAACTCTATGAAATTCATGGGGTCACCATAAATCAATAGGCAGCTTGAAGGCACAGCCACATGCACATATA